ACCGCATGAGCCGCGTTGAGATGGATGAGCTGAAGAAACAGGTCACTGAATTACAAGACAGTAGTTTTATTAGACACAGTGTGTCCCATTGGGGTGCTGGAGTCACTTTTGCCAGGAAGGGAGATGAAACACTAAGACTATGTATTAATTACAGAGGATTGAACAATGTCACAATCAAGAACAAATATCCCCTTCCCAGAATTGATGAGCTCTTCGATCAGTTGCAGGGTGCGCAGGTCTTCTCCAAAATAGACCTGCGATCAGATTACTATCAGGTGAAAATAAGGGCAGAAGACATCTCCAAAACGGCTTTTCAAACTAGGTACGGACACTATAAGTTCCTGGTCATGCCATTTGGGCTAACCAACGCCCCAACCATTTTCATGGATCTTATGAACAGGGTCTTCAGAGAATTCTTGGATCAATTTGTTATCATATTCATCGATAACATCCTGGTCTACTCAAAAAGCAGAGAAGAACATGCTCATCATCTAACCCAGGTTTTGTAGGTTCTCATAAGAAAGAAGTTGTATGCCAAGTTGAGTAAGTGTGAATTCTGGCTAGAGCAGACCGCTTCCTAAGACACATTATATCAAAGGAGGGAGTATCAGTGAATCCTAAAAAGGTTGAAGCGGTACTAGGCTGGGAGAAATTGACATCAGTTAAAGAAATCTGTAGCTTCCTGGGAATGACAGGTTATTACTGCAGATTCGTCGAAGGATTTTCTAGTCTAGCGGCTCCCCTAACCCGACTCACAAAAAAGAATGCTAAGTTTGAGTGGAATGAGGACTGTGAAAGAAGTTTTTCAGAATTAAAGAAGCGACTGACCATTGCACCCATGCTGGCCTTACCGAGTGGATCAAGGGGATATACAATTTACAATGATGCCTCTTATCTAGGCATAGGTTGTGTTTTAATGCAGCATGGGAAGATCATAGCCTATGGGTCCAGACAGTTAAAGAATCATGAGAAAAATTATCTCACCCATGACTTAGAGCTTACCGCAATCATACACGCCCTGAAAATCTGGTGCCATTATTTATACGGAGAGACCTTTCAGATCTATACCGATCATAAGAGTTTGAAAAACATATTCACTCAAAAGGATCTCAACATGCGTCAGAGAATGTGGATGGAACTCCTTAAAGACTATGATTGTGATATCTTGTACCATCCGGGTAAGGGCAACGTGGTGGCAGATGCTCTCAGCAGGAAAAATACAGGTATCTTAGCCCATTTGATGGTTTCATAATGCAGGCAAATTTGGGCCACACAACATGTTTGACTTCAGGACTTGAAGAGAGTCACATGTTATCTGACCGTCCAGCCCGAGTTAATCCAGAGAATCAGGGAAGCCCAGTCAGTCAACCCCGCCCTAGTAGCCCGCAAGAGTGATGCAGAACAGGGAATTAGCTCAGAATTTCGAGTCTCTGCCGATGGGTTACTCCGATTCCAAGACAGAGTATGTGTCCCAAGCAACAGCGAGTTGAAAAGAGACATTATGACAGAGGCCCATAGCTTGAAGTTTGCCATGTACCCCGGAAGCACCAAAATATACCAAAGCATGCGACCTCGATTTTGGTGGAATAAGATGAAGAGGGATATAGCTGACTTTGTGTCTAAATACTTGGTATGTCTGCAGGTCAAGGCAGAGCCTCAGCGCCCATGTGGGTTATTTCAGCATTTACCTATTCCGGAGTGGAAGTGGGAATATATCACCATGGACTTCGTAACAGGATTACCCAATGCACGCTCAGGACATGATGTCATCGAGGTAATTATTGACCGGCTTACCAAGTCTTCCCACTTCTTAGCCATTAGGATGACCGATCCCTTAGACAAGTTAGTAAGAATGTATATCCAGAAAATAGTTAGATTGCATGGAATTCCAGTGACAGTGGTATCCGACAGGGACCCCAAGTTCACCTCTCAGTTTTGGAGTAGCTTTCAGCAAGCCATGGGAACAAAGCTGTCCCTCAGTACTGCTTTCCATCCTCAGACTGATGGACAATCAGAAAGAACAATCCGTACACTTGAAGATATGCTCCAAGCTTGTGTCCTTGACTCTGGGGGCCATTGGGACGACCATCTGCCCCTGATAGAATTTGCCTACAACAACAGCTACTAAGCGAGCATTGGCATGGCTCCGTATGAGGCGTTATATGGACGCCCATGCAGATCGCCGATTTGTTGAGAAGAAGTGGGCGATAGAAAATTATTCAGCCTAGAGCTGGTAGAGAAGACCACATTTAAGATAGTTAAAATCAAAAAGAACATTCAGACGGCTCAGAGCAGGCAGAAGAGTTATGCGGACACCCGGAGGAGAGATTTAGCGTTTGAAAAAGATGACCGAGTGTTCCTTAAGGTCACTCCTTTCAAGGGAATTAATAGGTTCTGCATGAGGGAAAAACTGAACTCTCAATTTATTAGACCATTTGAAGTCTTAGACAGGATCGGTATTGCCGCCTACAGACTAGCACTGCCTCCAAAACTCTCCAAGGTATATAATGTGTTCCATGTATCCATGCTACGCAAGTACAACCCGGACCCCTCTCATGTCTTGGCTCATGAACCGCTTCCACTTTAGGAGAACTTATCTTATGAGGAAGTACCAATTGGTATTACGGACCGAAAGAGTAGATTACTCCGCAACCGAAAAATATCCTTTGTAAAGGTCGTATGACAGAACCACATGCCGAGGGAGGCTACATGGGAGCTAGAATCAGACCTTAGAGCCCCATACCCCCAGTTGTTCGATCAAGAATAAGGGGCAAATTTGAGGGACCAAATTTCTTTAAGGGGAGGAGAGTTGTAACACCCAAAAATATTTATTATTATTATTATTATTATTATTATTATTATTATTTTGTAAAGGTCGCCGGAGCACGGT